ACTAATCATCTCTTTGATGTGCGTTCGGCAATTCAAGGATTAAAAATGGCAAAAACTAAAGAATTATCCAGAGATATGCGAGATAGAATCATTGAACGTCACAAAGGAAGACAAGGTTACCGAAAAATTAGCAAAGAAATGAATCTAGCACTAAGTAGAGTAGGAAATATCATCAGAAAGTATAAGTAGTATGGCGATGGTACAGAAAACCTTCCAAGAAATGGAAAACCAAGAAAAATAAATGAGAGTACTTCAAGGTGGATCAGCAGAAATGTGCAAAAAAAACCCTTCAGTACTCGTTCTGAAAATAAAACTGATCTTGAGGGTGCTGGAATTAATGTAAGTAAGAATGCCATTAGCAGAGCTCTATATCGTACAGGCTTTCATTCAAGATCACCAAGAAAAGTGCCTTTACTGAAAACCAAACATGTCAAAGACCAATTAAAGTTTGTTGAAACTTATGAAAAGAAAGGTATGCAGTTTTGGGAAAATGTAATCTGGTCGGAAGAAATGAAATTTGAACTATTCGGAAGGAACACAGCGATAAGTGTTTGGCGAAAAAATGGCACTGCCTTCAACAAGCACAATATCATCCCCACAGTTAAGTTTGGGGGTGCTTCCATTATGATATGGGGATGCTTTTCATTCAAGGGCACTGGTGAGTTACAAGTTATCCATGGTAGAATGAATGGTAGCATGTACAGAGAGATTTTAGAGAATAACCTTCAGAAATCTGCAACTTCTTTAGGACATGGTTGGAATTTCGTGCTTCAACATGAAAATGATCCCAAACATACCGCAAAACTTACAAAGGAATGGTTTGAAAATAATGGTATTAGTACTCTCAAATTGGCCAAGTCAGTCTCCTGACTTGAATCCAATTGAGAATTTGTGGAATACTTTGAAGATTAAAGTTCATAAGCGGAAGCCACAAAATATCAAAGAATTAGAGGAATTATGCAAGGAAGAATGGGGTAAAGTAACAGTAGATCAGTGTGGAAAACTTGTGGCCAACTATAGAAAGCGACTGGAAGCAGTGCAACAAAATATTAAATTGATGTATCCAATACTTTTGCATAGGGTAATTTTGAACTTTGATAAAAAAAAAATGGATTCCATGAGTTTTTAATTTTCCTTCCACATACAACTAAAACAACTTTACGAGATATTACTTAGCAAATATCAGACAAAATGGTGAACATAAACTAGAGTTATAACAGAAAATAACATGTATCCAATACTTATGCATGTCACTGCATATATATATATATATATATATATATATATATATATATATATATATATATATATATATATATATATTATATTTTTGAGTTTTTAGGATTTTTTTGTCTTGTTTATATTTAGAATGCATCTGATTATGATATAAAACATATGTTTAGGGTTATTTCAGGAAGTATTATGTTTTATTTGAGTTATATTAAAATTACTAGTAGATTGCCTTATTTGTTCATGAACAATGTAGTTAGGAAAATTACCTTCCTTACATTAAAATTTTTAAAATTATGAAATTAATGTCATGTTCACAAACATGTTCCTAACAATAACTCAACCACAAAGAATTTCTTTTACAAATTAGAATTTTTAAAATCAGTGTTAGACTTTGTGCATGAGTTGAATTGTAAACAATTTAACCACAAAAGAAAAAAATTATTTTGGACAAATACAATCATTTGTCATAGCCATCAAAACCCTGATGATGATATTGGAAAATATCAAAAGCACGCAGGGAAAAATATAAATGAATAAATATAACTACAGCTCCTTTCTTGCTGTCTTTATTCATGAAAAAAGATAGCTAATACGTGATTACAAAAGGATTCTATTGAAAATACTAGCCTAGAAGCTGCCTTTTATGTGCACTTTAATCTAGCTCCTGTGGAGGGCTTTGGGGCCTTTGGCCTTTTACCTTTACTGTCCTATGTATATAAAAGTTATAAGAATTTAGAAATAATATTAATTATTTTATCTTTATTTGAGACTTTATTTCAGTATAAACTTTCTTCATATACACAACAGATCTCCATAGTTTGTTTACATTTATTTTACACACAATTTTTATTTCCTTTTAAAATCGCCATTCTTTATTAGCCCTTCACATAAAGTCACTCTTAAAAAACATTACAGATCCCAAACTAGGTAATATTTTGATTATGTCACAGTACATTTGTTAGAAAAAGAAAAAAAAAAATCATATGAGCAATGTACTATGTCCCGATTAAGTTTTAATTACAGTTTAATTAGATGATATCAATTGCAATTGTGATGAAAAGCAAAAGAATTTTTTTAAACCTTTACTCTGTTTGACTGTAAAATTTAACTTCAAATGTGTTATTTAATTTTTTTATCACATGTAACTACAGTAAATACTACCTTTTACTTCAGATTATGATTCACCTAAAATTAAGTGAAATAATTGTAATATTCTGCCTCCCTTTTCAATCTCGTTGCTTGATAATAATTCAATTATCTTTTCCAGATTAAAGGCAAGGTCGGGCCTGATCCTCTGTCTTACCAAAAAAATCAGTGTTTTGAAGAGGATCGTGTGATCTTGCGTTGTGAAACTGGCATGAAATACAATGATACTGACTTGGAACAGATAAAGCAAAATTCTTTGCCACAAGCACCTCTTGGACGAGACAGCACTAACTGCAACAAGTGGCAGCAAACTCCTCTCCTAAACATTAATAGTACACCTCGTGAAGCCAGCAGGTAGATGCAGTTTACAGAATTTATCTAATTCTTTATTCTATGTGCTTACAATAGTTTGTTTTTAACCTTTTAATATCTATTGTTTCACTATTGGAACAGGTTTTAAGACATTGCTTTTGATTCCAGATAAGCATTAATTTTGTTTTATTGATAACTAACTTAAAAGTCAGCACAAGTGCAACTTTTCAGCTAGATCCTGCAGGGGGCTAATTGAGCCACTGGCCCAAAACTAAATTGACCTCTGGTCCACCTTAGAGAACAACAATGATAATTTTGAAGAAATAACTTTAAATTCCTCAATTCACTCCATGGAACTTCAAAACCTCACTTTTAACTCTGATTCAGGCTATAAGTCCAATTTCAGCCAAAAGATATGATTTGGGCCAAAAGTTTAATTCAGGCCGAAAATTGAGTTCTTTAAATCAAAAACTCCAAGGAACTTCAACTGAGTTGATTTCTTAAATCACAAACACTGTGGAACTTTGAAACCTCACATGACGAAACCTCTAATTTTAACTTTGGATAATAAACCTGAGGAAGCTGGCAGAATGGATTAGGTGAAACATTGTATTGACAAGATCAAAGATATGAAGAAATTAAACTCTAAACTCAAAAAAAAAAAAAATGCTTAAAAACTTACTTGTTCTGAAACTACGATATTCTAACATTAGGAAAAGTATTAAACTTGTGTTTAACAAAAGATGATGTTTAAGGAGGTGCTGAAAAATTTTCAGTTTAACCAAGAAAGAATTCCTTTGGTCAGATTTTGGGAAATGAGCCAGACCCCAAAATTTTCAGGCCCCTTTTTGTATAAAAATGAGGTTGCAGTTTATCTACCCCCCCCCCACCATAGTTGTAGGTTTGACACAAGTTCATTATAAATGTAGAACCATACATGTGAGTAGTGCCCAAAATTGCTGTGAAATGCTTCAGAGAACCTATAATATACTTGAAGACAATATCAGGCTGGACAACAAGATATAAAATTCTTAGATCCCAAATGTCCAGAACAAATTGGGAACAAAATGTCTATTGTGATTTGAGAAAAAAATAAAATTTAGACAATGTTTACTACTCAGATTATAGATTTTTTTTGATTTTTTTTTTTTTTACACTATTTATATTTTGATTATTATCCTCAACTATAGGACAATGGCCAACTGGATAAATGTATTGGTTTGTGAATTTTGTGATATACTAGTTGTGAGTTCAATTGCTGGGCCAGGAAGTGTATACTTGTACTCAGTGTAAATAAGTATGCAATAACTGAAAACAGTACTAAATTAAAATAAGAACAAGTTTATATTCCTAGACATAGGCAGTGGAACAAGAACTGTCTACACCCATAGATTAAATAAAAAATATAGTTCAGAATTCACTGTAGGTTACCCAGCTTGATATATACCTGAAGAATGGCAGAGGGCACAATGGCCGAAACATTGTGATAACAACAACAAAAATGAGGACATTAGACCAAATATAAATAGTGTAAATAATGATAACTTCTCATTGCAGAAATTTAGACAAAAACTATCAGTTTATTTCATACTGCGATTCTTATGGTTATATGGTTAGCATAAAAGTTATACACATTGAAGGTGGAATCCATGTGCAGAATTCAAATTCTGGTAAAATCGGTTTTCTACACTTTATCCCTGTAAAAGGTATTAATCCATTTAATAGCTAATTTGCCTTGGATAGAAGTCAGTCTAAGAAGAAAACTATGAATTTAAATCTCCACTGCCTTGTTGCCATATCCAAAATAGAAAACACCCTGGAAGTAAACCCAGACAAAATCCAAAATTGAGTCCCTAAAGTAGTTGTCTATTAACATTGACCTATCTTGGCAACTGCTGTAGCCAAGCCAACACTCTAAGACATAATGCTCTGCATTCCTTTAGATCTCATCAGTTTAGCTATGAAGAGCAGTCTGTTTACCACAAAATGTCTATACATCATTGCCTACACCTGCACTCTGAGGAATTCACTCCACCTGGTGATCTTGATCTATCAGAGTTCTACCATTCTCTTACAAAAAGACAGATGAATATGACTCATTATTCTTCCTGATTTATATCAAGCATGTCTCTAATGTTGATTACTTATTATTATTATTATTGGTGGTGGTGTTGTTATTATTGTCATTTTTATTGTTATTTCTATTATTATCATTATCAACATTATTATTATTATTACTATTGTAATTATTCACAAGATTCAAGATGGCTACACCTACAGATTCTACAGAAAATCTGTCATCTGAGAAATATATTATTCTCATTGTGTCAAAGGAGTGGTTTTAAAATGTATGATGGTGACACAACTCACTCTCAGTCTGTTGAAAGTTGACAAAAACGATTGGAATCTTGTTGTAATGTATGGCAAGAGTGTGTTTCTATTCTAGCAAATATGGTGGGGGGGGTTAATAGGCAGAGAGGGAAAAAAGATGGGTGGTAATAAAAATAACACTGCTTTGGAAACCACAGCAACTTGAGGAACAAAAATGCCCATGGGGTTGACTTCACAAGACACTGTCTTGTCGACTGCTGTTTTCTCCCAGCTTTTATTAGCATATGGCATCTTACAAACACCTAGATCTTGACCAGTTGCAGAGAGGCCTGTATCTAGACATGCCAAGCTTTCCTGCTGCTAATGAGAAAAACCCGGATGTAACTGGTGTTGATAAACATGTTCACATGCGATCAGAGGCCTATTTTACATCTGTACAGATGCACATTTGCAACAAATCTTGAATGTTGATCTTTGGGGTTCGAGCATACCAAAAATATTGAACTTTGAAAACTGAAATATCACAAGCGCTTTACAGCTTGGTTGGCTGTGTACATTGGCAATGAGAAACAGTTGTGAGTGATGTCAATAACATTTCTACTTGACAACACAAATGAGGATATTTTCTGGAGAAGAAACAGAAAAACAGCAATAATTCATCAGTTAAAAAAAATTAAAGATTTTTGTTGACAAGATATAAAGCAGCTTATTATTGATACCCTGTCAGGTAACTCAGATGAACATATAACCATGGTTATAAGCCTAAAAAGCTAATTTAGATGGTGTCATTTCCTGTTACCACTCCATGGGAAATTTCTGTAAGAACATAAGATTAGAGTTCACTTTCTGCCCCACCCCCTGCTTACCACCACCACCACCACCCCAAAAAAAGAAAAGAAAAGAATCCTTATTCTTAACATCATAGAAAATATGAGTGGTTATGCCTGTCCAAATTGTAAGGAATGTTTCAATGTCTTTTTGAAAGGTGGAGAATCGTCCCTGCCCTGGGAACAAGATATTCAATTTTTAGATTGTATTCTACTTGACCATTATTATTATTTATTACCATTATTATTGATTTTCTGCTCTTCAGGAGACGTATGCATGCTTGCCGATATGACACAAGTGTAATGAGGGATATACTTCAAGGTCCTCAACCAAAGAAAGAAATTCTGGCAGAAAGGAGAACCATTTCACAGCCGACATATGCCACTGTGCATGTTCAAACAAGTGAAGCAAGTTTTCCTGACCCTGAGCAATGCTTTCCTCGGATCCACTCGGCACCAGAAAGGACACTTCAGAAGACACCTTCCTAAAACGGATAGTTTACACTGGCAGTTCACCTGACAGTTTCTCTGCCAGAATTTACATTGATGCACTGATGTTTCTCTTGATTCCTACAAGTCCTACATATGAAATGTTTATTGTCCTTATTTGAGATGACCATTTTTATTCCCTTGGTTTTATTGGTGGGTTTCTCATATAGACAGCTTAGCTCAGGTTCTGATGTGGAATATTCAAATACATTTTTTTTTTTCAAGTAATATATTTGACTGTTGTACCATTTTGGGGAAATTCTTTTGACTTTTAGCAGCTCTCACTATTTTTATCACTAACCTTGTTCTTCAGAATCTTCTGGCACTATAGTATCAATTTCTATTTTCTAATTGATATATTGCTTTACTATAGCATTATATCTGAGTTATTTATTATTTTTGTGGCTGATAGCTATTACTATTTCCTTGAATGTTTTCTTCTGCTTGATGGCTACTGATAGCCCCTTGGATTTTTTTTTTTTTTACTTGATGTCTACTGATAGCCCTGTGGAATTTTTTTCCTACTTGATGGCTACTGAGATAGTTTCTGGGACATGTGCTTTATAGTTATTGCTAGAAACCTGGAGCTGTTTTTAAGGATGTTGTTGCTATGGTTAGGTTCTGGGGCCTTTTTTGTATGGTTGATGGCTATTACTAGATCCTGTTTTATATATATATATATATATATATATATAGTTGATGACTATTGTTAGTTCCTGGGGCTTTTTTTTTTTCAAATAGCTGATGACTTTTGCCACTTCAAGATGCCTTTCTGAAATGACCGATGACTATTAATTACTCCTGATTCTTTTTGTGAGAAAGTTAAGAATTTCCAAGAAATGTTTTTTTAATTAAGAAAACCTCAAGATAGATTAATTTGAAATCAACTGGCTCCTTCTGTGACAGCTGGTATTTATGATAGAATATCCTAGTTTTAACGCTTTGTAAAAAATGGTGAACAGTCAAAGTAGACAATTATTCTGATAGTTTAATGAGATTGTTTTTGCTTTTCCTTATACCTTCCTTTGCACACAGTTCTTTGTTCTTTCAGAGAAACTCAGTTTTTTTTTTATGCGTAGAAAACTGCTTTATATGATTTCAATGCAATAAAAATGATATTTCATTTATCTTTTAAAAAATGTAAATAACTTTGATTTTTAGATTTCACAAATAAAATTTCAATCTACATTCTTTCAGCCTGTCTAATTTTGGCCACTGTTATAGACATTAAGATACCATTGAAACTTGTTTTGCATATATTAACTATTAAGATAACATAATAATAATGCCACCTGGTGATAGAGGTAGTGTTAGTAGGATATAGAATCTGAACAAACGTGGAGAAATTAGACAAAATGGAAAATCTTTTTATTGACACATTTTGCTGTTGTTAGGTAGT